AAAGCTACAGTAATCAAGACAACAAGGCACAAAAACAGAAATATAGATCAATGGAACAGGATAGAAGGCCCAGAGATGAACTCACATACCTATGGTCAACTAATCTATGACAAGGAGGAAAGGATATACAATGAAGAAAAGACAGTCTCTTCAATAAGTGGTGCTGGGAAAACTGGACAGCTACATGTAAAAGAATGAAATTAGAACACTCGCTAACACCATGCACAAAATAAACTCAAAATGGATTAAAAACCTAAATGTAAGACTGGACACTATAAAACTCTTAGAGGAAAACATAGGAAGAACACTCTTTGACATAAATCACAGCAAGATCTTTTTTTGACCCACCTCTAGAGTACTGGAAATAAAAACGGAAGTAAACAAATGGGACCTAATGAAACTTCAAAGCTTTTGCACAGCAAAGGAAACTATAAACAGGACGAAAAGACAGCCCTCAGAATGGGAGAAAATATTTGCAAATGAATCAACAGACAAAAGATTAATCTCCAAAATATATAAACAGCTCATACAGCTCAATATTAAAAAAAACAAACAGCCCAATTCAAAAGTGGGCAGAAGACCTAAGTAGACATCTCTCCAAAGAAGACATACACATGGCCAAGAGGCACATGAAAAGCTGCTCAACATCACTAATTATTAGAGAAATGCAAATGAAAACTACAATAAGGTATCACCTCACACCGGTCAGAACAGGCATCATCAGAAAATCTACGAACAACAAATGCTGGAGAGGGTGTGGAGAAAAGGGAACCCTCTTGCACTGTTGGTGGGAACGTAAATTGGTACAGCCACTAAGGAGAACAGTACGGAGGTCCCTTAAAAATCTAAAAATAGAACTACCATATGACCCAGCAATCCCACTACTGGGCATATACCCTGAGAAAACCATAATTCAAAAAGACACATGCACCCCAATGTTCATTGCAGCACTATTTACAATAGCCAGGTCATGGAAGCAACCTAAATGTCCATCGACAGATGACTGGATAAAGAAGATGTGGCACATATATACTACGGAATATTACTCACTCATAAAAAGGAATGAAATTGAGTTATTTGTAGTGAGGTGGATGGACCTAGAGACTGTCATACAGAGTGAAGTAAGTCAAAAAGAGTAAAACAAATACCGTATGCTAAAGCATGTATTTGGAATCTAGAAAAATCATACTGATGAACCTAGTGGCAGGGCAGGAATAAAGATGCAGATGTAGAGAACGGACTTGAGGACACAGTGGGGGAAAGGGAGGCTGGGATGTAGTGAGAGAGTAGCACGGACATATATACGCTACCAGATGTATAATAGCTAGCTAGTGGGAAGCAACTGCATAGCTCAGGGAGATCATCTCGGTGCTTTGTGACCACCTAGAGGGGTGGGATAGGTAGGGTGGGAGGGAGGCACAAGAGGGAGGGGATATGGGGATATATGTATTCATATAGCTGATTCGCTTTGTTGTACAGCAGAAACTAACACAACATTGTAAAGCAGTTATACTCTAATAAAGATGTATAAAAAAAAAAGAAATCTAGTCCCATGGATGTTTACCCAGATCCCCATAGGCTGGTAGCTCCTTCCCTGAGGAAGTCCTGCACTTTCTAGGCCTACAGTCTGGCCCCCAGTAGGTGCCTGATTCTGAATTCCCAAATTCTTTGGGGAATCAACTCCTAGCCCCCAGTTCAGCTGTCCTGGGCTCTGAATCACGCTAGGGCTGCCCTCCTGGCCTTGGGGCATTCTGGGCATGGAGAGGACCTCTTGTCAGGGCAGGTACTTGGGCCCTGCCGCTCTAGTGGGCGGCAAGTGATGCACCCCAAAGAGGAGCAGGCAGGGAGGGAGGCGAGGCTGATGCTCTCACTTGCAGCCCGGTGTCTGAAGGTGGTTCTTCAGGCTGGAATGCAGATGCACAAGGACAGTGTGGCCCTTGGTTACCCAGCTAACAGAGTTTCTCTGTGTGCAAAACAGCAAGGAATTATTTCTTCATGGTGCAGGTTTATTGCCATGAGGTGGAAGGCAGAATGTCATCTTAATTCATCAGGGAACAGGAGTCAAGAATGTGCCAGAATGCCAGCTCTGGGCACTGAGCTGCAGCTCTGTTAGAGCCTCATCTAGACCTCAATGAATATAAATCAGCACAGAGGTGCAAGGCTCCACCGTTGGCACCTCCAGCTCCCCTGGCCAGCTGGCCAGGCTGGTGTACAGAGGGCATGCAATCCAGAGTCACTTTGGGGGTCCAGGGACATCCCAAAACCCATAGAAGAGCTACAACCAGGGGGTCTGATGGTTCCCCAGGGAACAACTTTTGGATACAAGGCTCTGCTTAATGACAGAAAGACCTTGGGTTCAAACATGGACTGTATGCGTATGAACATGCTGTGTTTGCGTGCCCTTGGGTGTCTGCGTGACCACATGGACCAAAGGCCGAGCAGAGGCCTTCGGTCACCAAGCAAGCCAGGCTGAGCTCTGGGATAGGCCTTGGCCAGTGGGGAGGGCTGTGTGCCCTTCACTAGATCCCTGGGCTGTCCCTGCCGGGCACCAAGACCCAGGCACCTCCAGGCCTTCCCCTCTGACCAGGCTGCCATCACACAATGCACTCAGCAGGCGGCTCGTGCCCTCAGCCTCACAAGGGACAATCCGGGTCACTGCCCCTCCCCCCCACTCCCCAAGATGGAAGCCCCTCCTGCCACCAGTCCTTTCTGCTTCCTCCTCCCCGCACAGCCCTGGACTTCCCTTCCCTCAGTGCACCACCTTCCTCTCATGACTCCCGCAGGCCTCTGGCACCCTCATTCTACAGTGATCTCTCTCCTGGCCTTCCCTGTAAACCCTCTCTTGCCTGAGGACATCGCTCCCCAGCAGCCCTCTAGAGGCAGGCTGCTCATCCCCCACTCACCTGATTCAGGAGACCATCCCCTACTTTATCCTCGGAGCCCCAGCCTCCATGGGCAAAGCCCCTGCCTCTGGGCAGGGCCAACCTTCCACCTTCCCACGCCCTGTTGCATCTCGGAATGGCTCCACCCCACCCTGCTGTCATCCTGGGGGCCTTCAGCATCTCTGTGGACATCCACCAACCCCCAGGCCTCTTCGCCCCTTGACTTCCTCATCTCCAGCGACCCTTGAATCACTTTAGGCCCCTGCTCCCTTGGTGCCCCATACCCGAAGAAATGGCTATAGCCCCCACTGTCTGATTACTCCCTCACTCCGAGGTGCCCGCCACCTGGCACTCACCTCCCAGAGAGCTCCAGTCTTCTTTCCTGTCCACCTACCTTATTCTCATCCCTCCCTGACATAGACTCCATAGGCCAGCACCTCAGACACTCCCTTCCCCACTTCTAGGACACATTATAGGGTCTGCCTCTAGCCCACGAACAAGGGGAGTCACTCTCAAGCGTAAAAGGAGTGGTGCCATGACTCGAGGTGCACTTTAGAGATTCCTCCAGCTGCTGAGGCATTTCTGCTCCAGGGCTCTCAGTAGTGTGGGAAGCCATTGCAGGAACCCATGGAAAGGTGAATGGTGATGGAGAAAAAATGATGGCTGTTGGAGTGAAAAGATGTGAACAAGCCAAGAACTATCTAGGAGGCCAGGCTATAGGACTTTGAGAGAGAGAGCTCAAAGCCGACACTCCAACTTATGACTTGGCAGTTGACTTGACAGGAGGCACCCATCCCCAACAGACAAAATACAGGAGGAGGAGCCAGGTCTTGGGATTGGAGGGTGGGGGTGAGAGAAGAGTGAAGACTTCCGGTTAAGACACGTTGAGTTTGAGGAGTATGTGAGCTATCCAGGAAGCAGTTAGGTCTGCAGTTCAAAGAAAGTGGCGTGGGCAGGTGAAGGCCCCTGACAAGTGCAAAAGGTCACCCAAAGAGAATACAGAGTGAGAAGAGAAGAGAGCTCAGGACACAGTCCTGAGAAAACCACACTCGTGGGCAAGGCAAAGAAAACACGCACCCGAGAAGTTATGCCTAAGAGGCTGGAGGGAAACCAGGAGAAAGCGGCGACAGGAGGCTGCTGGCAACCCCAGAGGGGCTAGTTACTGGGGAGAGGAGGGAGGAAGCCCGGACACAAATGACAGGTAAGGAAGCCTTGCCGTGAAGAGAAGCAGGAGGATGGGACCATGCTCCCATCCTGCGAGGGGACACGCACGGGTATGTGACCACGTGAGAGCAAGACCTGAATGCACGGGGTCTGCAGGAGGGGGAGCTCTTTAACATGTGCCTATTCTCCACTCAGGCTTGGGGCTCCCTTGGGCTCCCTGAGTGTCGGACCTAAGCCCTAGACAGACAGACACCAGGCTGGCCTAGGGGCAACCTCTCAGCAGAACAGGCTGACACACCCTAACTTGTCGAATAGGTCCAAACCAGCCCCTTCCTGGAGAAGCATGGGTACTGACCGGAGCCAGGGCAAACATGCCATGTCCAGGATGAACACCTGAGGGCACGTTTGGGGCATCTCTGAGGTTTGTTCTGAAACCTCTGAGCCAAGTAAAGACTGGCCACCCTCTGCCCTCTCGGCAGGAGCAGCACTTCCAGAGCTGCCTGAACAAGTCATGAGACCATTCCCATCAAGAGAAGCAGCAGATTTTTCAATCGTTCGGGGAAAGCAGTGAGTGGCCGAAGCCACCAAAAAGCTGGAGACTCCTGGGCATGTAGTCCAAAGGGTCTGGACCATAAGAAAATCAGTCACTTTGCCACATGGGAGAGAGGAAAAGATCAGATGGTCTTGAGTCAGACACACCTTTCGAAGCTCAGCTCCAGCATCTAACTGCTGAGTGACCTTGGGTCTCAATTTCTTCATCTGTAAAATGGAGCTAATACCTTTCCTAGAATCGTTTTAAGATTAAATGAGATAACACAGGTAAACATCAACCTGTCACACAAGAGGACTCAGTCACTGCATGAGAGTAGCAGAATTATCATTTCATCAGAGGCTGATGGGCAGACGGGCCCTATCACCTGCACTCCCAGAACCACGGCATCCCACGTCACTCACCCGGATGCCGCGGCTATAGGGGATGAGCTTGAGAATGCGCAGGGACTGCACGCCATCGGCGATGTTGAGGTAGGGGTAGTGCTTGCCCTTGATCTTGCGGAGACTGTAGGGGATGAAGATGATGATGATAATGATCACATCTAGCAGGTTGTAGCCATCCTTCCAGTAGTTGATGGGGTCCACGTAGAGCTTCATGCAGAACTCGGAGCTATAGATGGACACGAAGATGAGCTCTGATACCTGCATGGGTGGTAAGGGTAGGAGGGTCAGACCAAGCTGCAGACCTTACCCCTGCCTGGGCCACCCAATCAGGTGTGTGTGTTGGTGGGGCGAGGGTGGGAGCGGGTGCTCCTAAGTCAGCCACAAGGCAGAGAAACCCAGGCAGAGTCCCTGGCATACAGTGGACACAATGTGCCTGATTCCCTTCTCTTTCTGTGCCTTGCCTACCCTGTGGCCCCGAGCTTAGGGCTGGGTTTGACCCAGATAGCTTGGGAATGACTGACTGACCGATGGACAGAATGACTATTGAGGCCCGGTGGGAGGTGCGTGTCAGGCAACCCGATTCCCAAAGAGAAGATCCCAAGAGCCTTCTGGCCAACCTGAATACACAGACTTTTGGGAAAGGAGATGAACTACTCACACATCTACTTTATTTATTCTATTATCACACATACTTAAAATCAGTTAATTAATCTGCTTTTGAAGAACATTCTGCTTTTTTTTTCCACTTTTATACTTTATGAAACAATCTTATTCAAATTCTTCTCCTGCATCTACAACTCCAGTGGCTTTGATTTTACCAAAAGGTACTTTTTGAGTCATCTAAGTTTGTCCTTATCATCAATGAATTCATTCACTGAGGAAGCTTTGATCAAGCATCTACCACATGCCAAGCAAGCACTGTTTCAGGCACAGGGAAATGAAACAATGAGACAGTCTCATTTTTTTTTTTAGAAGTTAATTTTTTTTAATTGGGAAACCAAGGTAGCAAACCTAAACTTATTGAAAATGAAATCAGTAACTAAGACTCTGCAGGCCCCATCCCCAACCAGCACCAAGGCCTCTGTTTGGCCTAACCCCAGTTTCTCTAGTCCCCAAAAGAACAACCATTTGAAGAACCTGGGGTCAACCTCAGGGCACACACCGCAACTCCCTCTACCCCACCCTCAAATACACACACCGCGGATCAGCAGGCTGGGTCTAGGCCCAAGGAGGGAATAGTGAGGTTTCCTGGGTGGCAGGGAATCCCGCCCCAACCTGGTCAAAATCCCAAGTTAGGAAAGGAAGACAGAAGGGAGACTGGCTTGCCCACCCACTCCCCTACCCCCAGTCCCCCCAGACAACAGGCTTGCATCCCTGATCAGTAACACTGTGATTCTGAGGTGTCAGTAGGGCTCCCAATGGCTTCACCAGATTACTGCAAAGGGCCCAGGGGAGGGGGCAGGCATTTACCCTGCCACCTGTTCAGTATTAGCCAGCCTAGCTGCTGCCCTCAGCTTGTGCTGTGGCCCCTCTCCCCTGTAGACACCCACGGCTGGGGACCAAGCCTCCTGCCAGAGAGAAATGAGTCCAGGAGGCCCTTGCTTCCCCAGCCAGGGAGGAAGGATGGCCTGGGAAGCCTGGGACGGCTACACCAGCTTCTTGGCTTCCAAGAAGCTCTTGAGGTGTCGCATCTGCCCGACGCCGATGGCTAGGAGAATGAGGGTCTGCAGGATAGATCACCACAGCATGCCCAGGAAGCTGACAGTCAGTCTAGTAGGGGAGATGGAAATGAATGTTTAAACAAATACATACAAAACATCAGACAGGAAGGAAAGTGAAACAGCCAAAGGGGAGAGAGGGGCTGGCCAGGGTGGGGAGGGGCAGGCATGGCAGCTACTTTAGAAAAGGTGCTGAGTGGAGGCCTCGCTAAAGCCAGGGATGGAGCCATAATAAAAAATGGGAGACTACTCCCCAGTGGCGAGTACAAGGGCCCTAAGGGGAGAAAGGAACAGCAAAGCCAGCGCGGCAAAACAGAAAGGGGTGAGCAGAGCAGGAGATGCAGTTGGAGGGGTGGGCCATGTAGGGAGGGCCTTGTAGGCCTGGTGAGGGCTGTGAACTTTAACCTCAGCCTTGGAGGAGTCTGAGCCAGGGAGTGATGTGAACTGATTTACATTTCTAAGATATCTCCGTGGAAAAGAGACCGTGGGGGAACTGGCAGGAATAGCAAGTGGGAGGCAAGTTAGGGAGGAGGTGCTAGATAGTAGAAGAATCATCATCCAGGCAAGAGACGAGGTTAGATTGTATTGGAGTGGGGGACAGTGTGGAGCTGAAGAGAAGAGGACAGATTCCGGAAGTATTTTGTGGGCAGTGATGGGCAGGACTTGCTGATGGACGCAGGGATGCACAGGGTAGAGAGCAGGCAAGGAAGACTCCAGTGCTTCACACAGAGCAACTGGGTAAACACCGATACCTTTAACTGAGATGAGTTTGGGGTGGGGTGAAGGGGGGCTAGAGAGAGTTTCTATTTCCATTTCTAGAGGGAAATAGAAAAGTTTTTGAGATACACCACCTTTTAAATATGTCGATGCTGTCACTGGAAATGGTAACTCAAGCCACAACTGTCCATTTGGAAAACATTAGGGCAGCTGGTGGTGTTATTTGTCCTGTATACTTACATTTGTGGTCTCCACATGGCAACCATTTACATACACTTTTATGTTTGTTAACTACAATGAAACATTTAATATACACAAAAAGGTATAAAGAATAATATAATGAACAACCATATACCACCACCCAGCTTAAGAAATAAAATATTACCATTACAGGCAGAGCCTCACATTGATCAGATCCCCTTCCTTTCCCCCAAAAGTAATCCTATTTTAAATCTGGAGTATGTCTTGCTCATGTGTTTTATACTTTTACCACATATGTATCCCTAAAAGTACATAGTATGGTTTTGCATTTTTTATACACTACATAAATTGCATATACATTACAGTATTCTTTGGGCGATATTTTTTCATTTAAAATTATAAGATTCATCCATGTTGATATATGTAAACCTAGTTTAGTGTTTCACCACTATTTAGCAATTCCACTTATGAAAATACTATAATTTCTTTATCCAGTTACCCATTTTTTACTACTGCAAAGAGTATAAAAGTACAAAAAGTTTGAGTCAGGTTGCAGGGCCATTTAAAAAGCAGACTTAAGGTCCTTTGCCGCTGAGCCCTCTCCCCAGCCAGATCGTGGGCAAGATGCCTGGGTGTGCAGCATCCTCGAACCCATGAGCAGTTCCTCAGTGCCCCTAGGGACCCCAGCCCCTGCCACAGCAGATTCTGAGCACCCCTTGGGCTCCCAGGTGCTGGGCCGCCAGCACCAACTTCTGGAGCACCCAAAAGGGAATTCTCCTGTTTGCTAAGATTCTGTTGTGCCTGGTGATTCTGATCTGCCTTGATTGCTGATTGAGATGATCTTTGCTGCTATATTCTTTATCATCTATGTGTGTTACCTGCACACCGAGATATAGGCTATCAACTGGCCTTGGAGTGATTTCTTCCAAACCCACATAGTGGTCATCCTCTACCTGATCACCTCAACCATTGTCCTTGTTGAGAGAAGAAACCACTCCAAAATCATCACAGGAGTACTGGGTCTAATCGCTGGGTGCCTACGTGGCCATGATGCCCACGTTACCTTCCCCTTGCGGCAGCAGACACAGCTGCCCCACTAACCCTGCAGATTGCCAGCTGTAGTTGAACTCCCTTCATTTCTCTCTGAAACCTGCAAATAACACCTCCATCGAAATAACTCCCTGCCCTTACAACACTCCCAACCAACTCGTAGCCCCATGTTTTACTGTACACATGTGTAGTTTTTCTCTGTTACATACCTAGGAGTGGAATTAACTGATTGTAGAATATGAGCATCTTCAGCTTCACAGGATTTTGCCAAATTGTTTTCTGAAGCTATTGTACTAACTTACTTTAATATCAACGATGCTCCTTTTTTTTTTCTATTTCTATTGGAGTATAGTTGTTTCACAATGTTATGTTAGTTTCTGCTGTACAGCAAAGTGAATGTTACATGTATACATATATCCCCTCTTTTTTAGATTTCCTTCCCATTTAGGTCACCACAGAGCATTGAGTAGAGTTCCCTGTGCTATACAGTAGATTCTCATTAGTTACCTATTTTATACATAGTAGTATATATATATGTCTATCCCAATCTCCCAATTCATTCCACCACCACCCTCCCCGCCTTGGTATCCATAAGTTTGTTCTCTACATCTGTGTCTCTATTTCTGCTTTGCAAATAAGTTCATTTGTACCATTTTTCTAGATTCCACATGTAAGCGATATTATACGATATCTGTTTTTCTCTTTCTGACTTACTTCTGAACAATGCTTTATTTTTTTAAAAAAATCGTTACCAATACTTCCTACTGTTGGATTTCTTAATTTTTGTCAATCTGATGAATATGAAATGGTATCTTATTTTTCAGTTTGTCATTTCTCTAATTATTAATGAAGTTGGGCATCTTTTTATATGTTTAAATTGTAAATTGCCTGCTCCTAATCTGTTGTCAAATTTTCTGCTAGATTGTTTTGTCTTTTTCTTATTGATTTGGAAGACAATGTATCACATACTTTGAATCCTAATCCTTTACCTGTTATATGTGTTTCAAATAGCATCTCCTACAGTGACTTATCTTTTCACCTCTTTAATGATCTTTTGATGAATAGAAATTTAAAGTTTTAATGGAATCAAATTAATCAAACTTTTTCTCCATGGCTTATTTATTTCATACCTTAAGATACCTTTCCCTCCCGAGATCATATAAATCTATATTTTCTTCTAAAAATTTAAAGTTTCACTTTTCAAGTTAGGTCTTTAGCTGTGTATGCTGGAAGGTAGAGATCCAATTGTGTTTTTTCTCTCAACATGTACTGTTTAATGAAGAAGTTATCTTCCACCACTCATTTGCAGTGCCATCTGACAGGGGCCAGGTTTTCATACAAGCCAGGTCTGTTTCTGAGCACTCTATCCTGTTCCATTGGTCTATCTGTCTATCCACGCATCATCACCCTGCTTTAATTACTGCGGCATTATAGGAAGTCTTATTACCTGGTAAGTCAAGACTTCTCCCCTTTTCACTTTCAAAACCATCTTGGATTTTTATATTTCATTCTTTTATCTAAATTTTAGCATCAGCTTTTGGCGACCCATAAAAAAATCCTGCCAGACTTCTT